ACGTTGTCGACTGCACTTGCATAAAGTGGGACTAATTACATACAGCACGCTCGTTAAAGCCTGAATGAGTTTCTATTTAGCGCACTCAGTCAATAGTCCTTATAACGGTTTACTTACATCACAGTAAATTCACTGCATCTAACCGCACTACACGTACATATTCTGGGGAATTAATGGAATAATTAAACTTGGAAACGAAAAACTAAGTCCTCAGGATTACCATTGGGTATTTTGGGGCATGCGTGTTTCATATAAATAAGTACATGGAGTTATTACGGTTACTTTAGCTTTGATGATGATGAAACTGAAACTAATTTCCGTTAATTTGTAAAGTTGCCCCGGAGTTTTCACTATTCATAGTGGAAATATGATTTATGTTTGCATTTTGAGAGGAAAATGACCGCTACTTATTTATTTGTTTTATTTATTACGAATATTACTGAATCTTAAAACAATTTTTTATTATACCTGAATCACAATCTCGGTTTTAAACACTTAAATGCGTGCGAAAAAAGGCCTTTAAAACACACGTGCTTTAAAGTTGCTAAGTAATGATACTTCAAGTATGACTTTTGAAACTGGTGATCTGGGGCTGAAATAAAAAATCCTCTTAGGTCGTTTTCTGTAAATGCACAACGTTTCTTTGGCTTGTACCTATCCTTTGGTTGAAGCTTTCACAAACGCGCGTAATTTAGGGTATGCTTCCAAATCTGTTCCACTTTTTAATCGCAGCATTGTTTGAAGTTTTGAATGAATGCACCAAAAGATTTAAATACCTTTGACATTTCCTTCATATATGCCAGCATTATCGATGCATTTAACACTTTATTCATAAGTAACTTCCTATTCATTCATGGAAACTTTTCATATTCTTTATAATAGGCTTTACTGGATTTGGATTTTACACCTACCAACGTTTGTTTAGATTTTACTACAAGCGATTTAATGGGCCGTGTATTACCTTTTTCAACGGAAATCGTTTTATTTACAAAGACGATGATTTTTATAAGCAAACGTCAAGTGACATTTCCATGACAATCGTGAAATTTCGAACACCCAGCCCACTTAATTAAACATGTATTCGAGTATAACGTCAATATGGTTTCATTGTATTTCCTATTTTTAAATTATACTGCAGGTATAATAAAAAATACTATAAGATACACTGTATAATTGGTCTTTAAAGCACTTGCAACGTTAGAGGCACTCCGCTTTGCGTCGTGCCATTAAACTCGTTGCGCGTGCTTTAAAGACTTGATTATTTACACTTGTATCTTAATATACTATTCCACAAGTTTGATATCTCGGGCAAAAAAATTGCACGTATAGGGCCAAGTACAAGTAAAACGTATAGGAGAATTCTTACCTCGCCTCGCACTCTCAGGTATCGGTGAATTTAATAGGTTACCACACTCGTATGCCGAATTGTAGGTACAGTAACGTATCCGTAATTTACACTGGTACTTATAATTAAAATTTAGACCGGAATTAAAAAGTCGAGTCTGAACTTGAACTAAAATTGAAAGCCTAAAAGAAATCAAAGGGAACGTTCCTTCGTTGATATCATAAAATGTACATACCTCTTAAATAAGAGGGCTAATCGTAGATGAAGCAGCAACTGTCGAAGGAAACTGCGGTACAACCTAAACAAAAGGTACGCTTCAATTAAGTACGCGAAATTCAAAAGGCGGTCCTTAGGATAAGAAAGGAAGAAAGCAAATGTAAATCCTCACTAGGAGTATTGGTACATCCCGTCCATCTACTTCTTCGGAATCCCCAAATTAAGAATCCAATCGCCAGGGAGCAATATACACGGAAGATGGCAATTAAAATTCCATGCGTTCTACCTTACGCTTCCAGCTGTTTGCTTAATTGACGTGTATTTCTATACGGCGCGACGTATGAAGAAAAAGAAAATGACAATCGACAACCCAACAATCACGACGCGGTCAATCTGCGCGGTTAAATTCCATCAATAGATGGAGCCAGCCATTAGATCGTTCCCAAAAGTTACAGGGATCTTTCAACAAGTAATAAAGCGTAAACAATAATAATGCTTTGTAATGGAGAAAAAAAACCGTTACAGAATCCTTGGCAACCTACAGCGCGATAAAAATCTGGACTCTAGGTATTATACATTTAAGAAGACCGTAAACCAATACGGTTACTCATTAAGAATTTATATAAATTTAAGTTTGGGGGTTTGGGCGGTTTAGACCGAGATTTAGAGAAGAAGATTGTAATATACTTATAGCGATTAAAAACACACTTTTGTTATAGGTACCACTAAATGATCCTCTGATGCTCATTGGTTATTTTTGGCATATTTTGCAGTCAATGATGTCATTATCATTTTTTGTCGGATCTGATGCAATTTAAATGTACCTACGTCATTATCCAGAAGTTACATTTATTTTATGCCAAAATATAAGTGGCCTACACAAACACAATGTACATTACAGATTACCAGAAACATTTTCCGTTTGCTTTAGAAGAGAGGATCGAATTACATGTCTATTTTTGTCCGAATTAAATTTTCTAGCGCCATTACAACATTTTAAGGAGTCGTTCCGGTCTAAGGCAAACTTAATGAGGCATCATCAATAACGAGGGAAAAATCCCGCAATTAACATCGCGTCGTCAATATATTTTTTCTAGGCGGTCCTTCAAAAAGGAAATCCGTACATAGGATAATTACAAGCAAAATTTGTTAGGGTTAACGTACTTGTAATAAAAGCTCGTGGCATCTTAGTCGCATACATACACGTTCCTTTCTAAAAAAGAAAATTCCGGTAATTTATTAGGTTTCCTTTTCCCTTAGATTTTTATTTATCCCATCATCACTCATACAACTTTAAGTTAAGCTCTAAGGAAATTTTACTTGAAAACGAGATTTTATAAAACTGCCCCAATTTATCTTGTATTTTTTTTGTTTTGTAGCGTCGATAAAACAAAGAGCCACCCACTGATTATAAATAAGGTGACATTAATCCCGGGAAATATTATTGATGAGTGCATTTTGGATACGCCTAATTACCCATCACTGCCCAATTTATACAGTTGCGCTTTGACGTGGGTTAAAATAGAAGAGGAGTTTTGACAAAATATCAAATTGAATTGAATAAATAAACGGAATCTGCGTGTGTGCAAATTTGTACCGGCATTGATATGCATAAAATTCGCAAAAATTCAGACACGAAAAATCGTCTGACCGAGACGAATTTCAGGGTCTCCTAATCACAGTTTGTCGTTGCTTGCTATTTATCTATGTAATTGCGACTGCTGGTCGCCTGTATAAAAAAAAATTGTTTAATCCATTTCAGTTGCCCAAAACAATTGGTCTGGAAGAAAAACGCAGAACGCCAACGTTTGTTTTTCTTTAATGCTTAATTTGTCACCTTTTTCGTCACCTAAGAAAACGAATGTAATTTTTAATAGTCATTTATTATTAGGACTTGTGCAGCTGATCGCCACGTTCAGATTTGCAACAAAGATTTAAGACTTAAGACTTAAAACTTGAAAGAGTCGAAGGCCCGCTCCAACCAAATTTCGTAAATTCCATTGAAATCGCTACTCACATTTTGAATAAAATCGGAAATAGCATTCGGAAAAAAGAAAATTTCAAATTGGGATTCAAACTGACCCATACTGAAAAATTACACACATTGAAAAAAGAATGAAATACAAGAAAATCCTGTAAGAAAAAAACTTAAGGTTAACAGTGCCTTTTGAATAGAACACACCCCGTTTGCAAACGGTCCATCTAAAAACCAATTAAAAGATCTCAAAAATTGGTCCAACGGAACGCAGATACTGACGAAACTTCGCTTTCACGAAATACTTGTAGTTTTAACAGAATTACCTTTTTTTATTTGACACTTGTAATTCCTCCAACGACTCATCCGACGAACTTGTGAGTGAGATTTCGCTGATGAGATGAGTTACGCACACATTCAAAATTTACCCTAACAGCCGCGTCGTTAATTTGCACCGCTTATTTAAGTGATTGACACCTCCACTCTAATTTTCTCGCCCTGTTAATAATCGACGAAGAACGAACAAGCAACTACGTCGCCAAATTGATACCTATCTGTGACGCTTATCAATAATTATTAACCGATAACAGCAATTACAAAACACATTTGTCCAAATTACGTCGTTTTGAAATAAATGTTTCCTTATTTTTGCGTTCCTAGTATTTCGTACCCTCATTCAAATACAATATCAAAGAGAAAAAAATAAACATTACCCTGTGTACATTTGACAAAATGTCCCTCAGGTCCTAAATAAAATAATTACAACATTGTACAGGATGTCCCATCTGAAACCTCCAATGCGAAAGCCAAATTACGTTCACAGGAGATAAATCTTTAACTACAGGGTGGCTCGCTCTCATCGTGTCGGCATTATTTCAACCTAGAGAAACGAGACCCCCTGCAGTTTGCACAATAATATTTGATTCCCTTTCCCACTTGGAATAGTAATAGAAAAATGTTCGAACACTAGAATATCTTGTGAAATCACTGTATTAATTCTAATTCATTGCATAAATTTGCAAGAAATTTGCAAGAAAATATACAAAACAATGAAAAATGTTTCCATGATTTTCAAGCTGAGAAATTCAAAAATGATGGCCTGAAAAAGTGGTCGACAATACGAAGATTATTTATCTACAAAAAGCCCTTGATTTTCATCTTAACCACTGTATGTGTAGGCGTTTCGCGGGAGCGTTTCGTCCACAACGTACCGCGATTCCGCTCATAATATAAAATTTAAATTTAAATTCATTCTTGTCGCCACTTACTAATCTCGTTGTGCGGTTTGACCGCAGAACGATGGCGGACGGACGGATAATGTGGACGGTCATATTTAGAGCCATGTGTTTTAGTCGTCCTATCAAAACGATCCCGATAAACGGGACCGCCCAAAACGCACACTTTCCCACTACTAAATACACATCACCAAGAAATGCAGAAGATATGTAATGAAAAAATTCCTACCTTTATAAAGCTGCCTTTCTGGAATCTGAAACAAAGAATAAACTTTCGTTAAAACAAGAATACCAATCATAATAAGGCGAGTCTTTACACAGGGTGTAGCATCTAAGACCCCTCGAATCATGATTCCTTTAGGTACCATAACAGAAATGTAAAAGCAAAACTGTGCGCAATTACCATGTTTCTAAAATATTCCTGGACATCAGTGACGTGCTGTGTTTCACTGGCGTGTAAAACTATACATTTTTTTTTAATGAAACGCCCCTTATTTTACTGAAGAATTGGAAAGTACTTGAAGAGTACCTACTTATTTTTGTATGTAACATATTATACCTTTAACTTTAGCGATTTCGCTGTTATCACCTTTGATAATTGTTCGAAATAAAGACCGTCCTGATTGTGGCATATAACTGCGAGCTGTACTCGCTTATTTTTTTTGTATCAGTGGAAATTTTGTAGATCAGCCATCCAGAGCTATATTTTGTTTTCTTTTTTCGATAAAGGACATGACAATAATTATGTAAAACTGGAAGGGATTTTAGCCTGTACCTTAATTCAAAATTTAACGCCAGCGCGATTTAGTTTCTTTGAAAAAAATTTAAAAAAGATCAACCCTTGAAGAAGTACATTTTTTTAATATCTTTTATGGTACACAAATTATGATTCGAGCGAATTTTACTCCGAAGTTTTTATTGCACTCTGAGAAACAGCCGCGTACCAGTTTGGCGCCCCAGTACAACAACACATCAGAGTGTAACAAACAAGTATGTGAACAAAAATTGAGTGGAAGGGCCAAAATGGATTTTTTGGAAGGTACACCCTCAAAAGTCTGCGTTTCTTTAATTTTTTTCTTGGGAATCATCAAATAGAACTTACGGACTTAACCCTAGATTGTTGGGTGTCCTTCCTGATTTTTTAAGAATATTTCTAAAATTCCTACCCCAAGATGGCACACTTCTATATAGAAATTCGAACTCGAGGGCGACTTTTCTTTAAATAAACCTACGACATCGGACACATTTTGAAATTTGAACATATTGAGCTTTCAATGTATGAATGAATGAATGTACAATTTAACATTTAAGATTAAGAGAACATTTAAAATGTATCAAGATTTATATTGAATCTTGAAATCTTAAATTTAAAATACTAAATGTGCATAAACCAGATACCAAAAACATAAGTGAACTAAATAATCTGCAAGATAATAAAGATGAAATTTACAAAGGATTTCGCTTACATCACAAATTTAATTAATATATATTTGAGGATAAAATATTTGTTTTCCCTGGACACTGGTCTGGGTACATGTGGTATTAACATTGTTGGCGAAACTTACACTCGAGGAGAAAATCAAATATTTGCGAGTATGCCGTATATTAATTATTATTCGAGAATTTAGAGATTTCAATATCTCATTCAGGGAATGCTCGCATCTATGATATTCGTGCGATTTGTTTTCTGTTCAAAAAAATACAACTATTCAGGTCGCGTACTTTGCCCTTAATGATTTATTTCTGAACCCCTTTATAGACTTAACGAAGCGAAACCTTAAAGGTGTTAGGTTTAGGGTTCCACTCACTCTACATTCCGTATACCGCATTATCTCACCCTTTTCAATGCATGAATGGGTAAAAAAAGGTGGACGTGATTTAATAAATGAAATATTGTCTATTCATCATCTTAAACCAGCAAAATGTCTCTAGAAACATTACATCCGTAAACAAAATTTGTTTTTCTGTGCTCTATTATTATATTATTTCGACGTGCGATAGATTAATTTCTTGCTGTAAGTAAACAATTTTGGCTGGGAATCAATTTCGAAGACACCTTTTTCGGCCCTAAATACACATAACCCAAATTGCAGTTTCCCCAAACGTCTCTAGCAGCTTCATAGATCAGTTTTCCAATGTTCGTAAAGCAATCAAGTTTTGATAAATAAAATAACGAACCGTTATCGGGCTTTTAAGTAAATGTTTCCTATCGTTAAAAAAGGCTACAGTCACCTGATGTAAACTGTAGATTAAACAACAAAAAGAAGTTTTGTAATAAATCTGTAGACAGTATATTGTACAATGTACAGGGTGGTTCAAATTCGTGGGTCACCATTGCGATCTCCTTAATGGTAGGAGATAGGGGTAAAGATGCCCCTTTTGGTGACTAAAAAAACGTATTTGAAATTTTTGAAAAATAGAATAACTGAAAATGTCAAATTTGGTTTTTATTTTCCCTAGCTTAAACAGTCGAAAAGGGATGCCATATTGCAAACCTAAGCTATTTTTTAATGACAAAATATGCATATCAAGAAGAAAAAGCAAAGCATTCAAGCAAAACAAAAAAGGTTCTCGTTTTCCTAGTTTACACAATATTCACACGCGAAAGGAGTGCAGATAAAGTCACTATAATTTCATAAACTTTAGGACACGATCAGAGAGACTGATAAAACTGGTAAGTAATAATACGTGTCAACGCGTCTGTAGGCAACCGAACACTAACAAGAAATGGATGATTACAATTTATGTTATACATGTCAAGACGACAGATTTTTGTAAAAATAAAAACGTTTACAAATGTGAATAAAAACTTGATTGTGATTTTCGTCTCCGATTAATCATCATCACCTTTTTTCTTGTGGAAGCTTTTGTGTCATTTTCTGAATTCCAAAATGTAAGTATCACTATTTTTTAATAAGAAATGGCGCTATTAATTCGTAAAAACGCAAGAAACTACCAACATACACTACCGAAGACAAAGTTTGCCAAACAAAAAAGAAGATATTTTAACAATATTGAAGAAATAGTGATGAAAAAATGCTCTATAAGATGACAAAAAAAAATAAAAATGACTTCCATAAGAGAAAACCAAATTGATGATGGTTAACTCCAGACGAAACGTCAGACTTAAAATTTAAATTACCACCTTGTAGAGCAAAAAAAGTGGCCATATATGTCCTTTAATTTGAAATATCTTTTTAAATAACTCCGGTAAAAAATAAAAACTATTTTGCAAAATTTCGTTTTTTTCAGGATATCTCTGAAAGTAGTCGGAATTTTTTCAGTTTCAAAACGTCATTTTATTAAGAATCAAAATATCATATTGGAGAAATAGAAGATCTCGTAGAAGATGAAAAGGAAGACGAACGTGAAAGTCCTTCCTACCCTAAGAGAGCAAGAAATTGACTCAATGGTGTCTATTGTGGTAATGTTTTATGTTAATACTTTTTTCTATGTCAATAAACTTCGTTTTCATTTAATCTTATCCCAGTATTTGTGCTACTTAGTCTGGAAATAGTGAGAAATTCATTAGTGTTGTCTCACAAAGAGGTCAATTGGGCACAACAGTTGTAAAATAGGTAGTGTTTGATGGATAATAAAGGAAAATAGGAAAAGTATCCCTAGTCATTGCATAATTTAAATAAACATACTAGAAAACTAGACAAAAAAATGGAGTAGTGAAAGTTAACAATTATTTCTGCCTATTCGTTCACCTCGACTCGACCGTTACGTATGACACCTCCGCAATTTGTCCTTGAAATTTTCTAAACATAGACCGTATACAAAAACGCACGCAACCTGTATTATATTAGCGAATCAATTTCGCTCACCGTGTGGTATATATGTGTTTGTATTTTGCAATAAAAATAAAGAATCCGGTTTGATCTCTCGACTTGGTCGTCGAGACCATTAAGGTAAAAAAGCCAAACAAAACAAATCATGCCAATAACCAGTTTGCAAGTCAACGTCCACGCTGCTGGTAGACATAACGCTATTTAAAGATATCGAAGAAAACAATTTCTTCACTTGCTTCTTTGATTATTCGTATAATGGACGCGACAGATGTTTTGAAAGAAAAATGTTACGGTAAAGTTCAAGGATACTGCCCGAAGATTAATTATACCTGTCGGTGGTGTTTTATTTTAGAATGGGTACTTCTTCAAAGAGAAAAGCCCCTAATCGAATTTTTTCTCGTCGTATTACTGTTGTACCTAATTGTGTAATTGCCCTGAACAGTGAAAAACGAAATTAATTTAGTATGCAGTGGCAAGATTTGGAAAATGTGTCAGGAAAAAATTTATGAAATTCTTGAAGAAAACGTACCAAATAATACGAATAATTCGCACTGCGAAAACTCACCTTACCTAATTGAAAGTCCCCTTTTCTTTAAAAATTGATTTTACACTGAAAAATAATCGCAGTTTGTAATTTATCCCTATAGCTCGTATGAACGGTTTTGGTAGAAATGGGACACCCACATTCAGACCGGCTTTAATATAAAGGAACCCTAAAAAAGTTTTGTTTCATGATTCATTCTTCTTGATTCTATTAAAGATTTTTTGAACGGGTGAGTAAATTATGCAACTAGTGAGCCTAGTTTGTTCGCCTTATGAAAGGTAAATTATTTTTTGAAGGTGTATATTCTTTCAAAATTTGTAATGAACTCAAATAATTCAAAAACCCTTCTGTGAACCCCATGAGTAGAATTTAAAAAAAAATAAAAACCTGACCGCAATGTTTAGGGGATGTGCCGATTGAGGGGCTCCAACTTAGCCCACCTCTTTCCATACTAGTACTTAATAATAATTTCATAAACTACATTTTTATTACGCGTGTCATATCTTCTTGACAGAACAGTTTACTAGCTCAAACCAAAAAAACGCGCTTAAAAGAGTGTCTTCAAAAAATGGCAAGTGTAGTGTGTAGACGAAAAACGTTTCCAACAAAAGTTTATTGAATAAAAATATTCAATAAAGTTTCTATTTGAAAAAATTAGTTGCCCTACACTTGACGTGAAAACTCGATGTGAAAACGCGCATAGCATAATTAAAGGAGCCCTTCCATATTTTATATAAATCATTTTTTAATATCCCCGCTAGTTTCCACAATAATCGACTGTCTCAAGATAAATGGGACACCCTGTATACAAATTAATTGACATTCAAATATCAGATGACTCAACTGAGAGTCGCAATTCGCAAAAGAAATCATCGCTACACCCCAATTCGTGTCGCTTATAACGGGTGTCCCAAAA